GCTGATTGCTCCGAAGTGGGGTCAGACCCCCTCCCAAATTCCCTCCCAGCCCTCAGAAACTGAGCACCCCCTGCCCCTCCTACCTTGTAGGCTTTGATGAAGCGCATGAACATGGGGAAGAAGGTGGTGGGGGGACTGGTCTTGGGGTTCTCCCCGAAATACTCCACAGCTGACTCATAGGCCTCCTGTGGGCAGAGACACCCGGTCCGGGGGCTGTGCCTGGGCAGCAGTGCCCATCGCCCACCGCCTCCTGCCAGCCTCTCCCACTCCCCATCCCACCCCAAATCCCTCCTGAATGTCCCATGGGAGCCACATCCTAACCAGGAGCCCGTCCCCTGGGGCAGAGGTGTGAGCAGAGTGTCCCCATGTAGGGGACTACGCCACGACCCCGCGCCACCCCAGCACCCACCTTGGCAGTTTTGCTGTCAGCCTGCAGCTTCTCCATCACCTCTGAATTGACCTTGAGGAAGTCCTTGAGCACGGGRCTGTCGTCCTGTCTCATGAACTCCCTGCGGGTCAGCTCCATGCCCTGCTGCAGGCTCCGCACGTCCTGCAGGACGCCMTCCAGGGACACTGCAGGAGGCGAGGGGCATGGGGTCAGGGCAAGGATGGAGTACCAGGGGCTGCCTCAACCCCCAGGGCCTGCGGGCGCTACCTGTGCCTGCCTTGTCCAGGAAGTGCAGCTCGGTGTGGAAGCCAGTGAGCTCYGGGTACTTCTCCATGATCACCCGCACCAGGTAATGCAGCAGCGTCTGCTTGCGGTCTGTGGACTTCATCTCCAGGAGCTGGGGCACAGCAGGGTCAGCTCTGACCCACAGCCACTGCCCCTCACCCTGCTCAGGGCAGGGTCAGCCACAGCTCCTCACCCTGCTTGGGGCTGTCTCGGGTGAGCCTTTATCTCTGTGCCTGAGCCCATCCCTCCATGCCTATAGCAGGATCATCCCTCCATCTCCACAGCCAGACCTCCATTCCTCCATCTCCACAGCTGGATCTTTATCTCTCCATCCCTCCATCCCTGTGGCTGAATCTGCATCCCTCCATCCCCACACCCAGAACTATGTCCCGCTATCCCCATGGCTAATTCCCATCTTTCTCCATCCTCATGGCTGGATCTGCATCCCTCCACCCCCACAGCCAGATCTACATCCCTCTATCCCCATGGCTGATTCCCATTTTCTCTATCCTCACGGCTGGGTCTGCATAGCTCTATCCCCACAGATGGAGTTCATTCCCACCTCCCCATGTATGGCCATCCTCCCTCTATCCTCASCTCAGCTGGTTCCCACCTTTCTTCTTCCCATCCTTCCCTCATCAACGTCCTTGAGCTCATTCACCTCTCCATAGTTGGTCTCCATCCTTCTAGCCCCATTCCTGCACATCTCCATCCCTTTACCTCCTCCCTTTCTCTCCAACCCTACAGACTCTTCATCCCTCCATCCCCACCGCTGAACCTCGTGTCCCTCCATCCCCACAGCAGCTCCTTCCATCCCTACAGCTGGTCCCTGTGTCACTCTGTGTCCAGGGCTGGCAGTGGCAGTGTCCCCAAGCACCCCACACCGAGCACCCCACACCGAGCACCCCACACCGGGCACCCCACGCTGACCCTACCGCGTCGAGGCTCTGCAGCCGGAAGCCATAGGCAGCTCCACGCTTGCTGCTGTTCATGTAATTCCCGAAGGCCAGGACGATCTGCGGGGACACCACAGCTTGGGGACACGGGGCTGGGAGGGTGCGGTGCCTACAGACACCTGCCAGCACCCTGCACGGGGCCACCCAACCCCAACGTGCCACCCTGCACCCATCGGGACCACCCGACCCCAAAGTGCCACCCTGCACCCATCAGGACCACCCGACCCCAAAGTGCCACCCTGCACCCATCGGGGCCACCCGACCCCAAAGTGCCACCCTGCACCCATCAGGGCCACCCGACCCCAAAGCGCTCACCTCGAGGATGTGGCGCAGTTTGCTGGAGGACTTGAGGGACATGGAGGCAGCGATGATGGCGTTGAGTTGCTGCAGGAGGGAAGGAGGGAGGCAGAGAGGGAGGGAAGGGTGTGAGCACCGCCGGGAGCCGCCCCCRGCCCGCCCCACCCCGCCCGGCACACACCGGCGTGAGCAGCTGCGCCGTGTCGCCGAAGCTGCCCAGGAAGATCATGACGTTCATGCGCTCGGCCAGCCGCGGGATTTTGCTGAAGCGGATCATGAACTGGTCCTCGTCCGAGAGCTCCTCCGGCGGCTGCTGCTCCTTCTCGAACTTCCCGATCAGCGTCCGCTCGTACTCGGTGGGCAGGAAGCGCAGCAGCAGCTCCAGGAAGTCGAGGCTCAGGGTTTGTTGGTCGTACCTGCGCGGCGTGGGGCACCCGTGGCACTGTCACCCCGTGCCGCAGGTCCCTCAGCCCCTCTGCCACCCCCGGCTGGTGCCATCATCCCTCCACCCCCACAGCTGGTCCCCTCCATCTCACCGCCCGTGGCACTGTCACCCCGTGCCGCAGGTCCCTCAGCCCCTCTGCCACCCCCGGCTGGTGCCATCATCCCTCCACCCCCACAGCTGGTCCCCTCCATCTCACCGTATCTGGTCCTCACATCCCTTCATCTCTGTCCCTGCAGCTCTCCACTCCCACAGTGGTTCCTGCACCACTTCATCTTTCTGTATCTTGATCCCACATCCCTCCATCTCTCTGCATGGATCCCTCCATCTCTCCGTGTTTGGTCCCCACATTCCTTCGTCTCCTATCTGGTTCCTGCATCCCTCCATGTCTCCACCTCAGATACCTCCATCTCTCCACCTCATATCCCTTGATCCCCCCATCCCTCCATCTCTGACCCCTCTACCCCTCCATCTCTCCACCCCTCATCTCTCCATCTCTCCATCTCTCCACCTCAGATCTCTCCATCTCTCCATATCTTGTCCCTGCATCCCCAAACCCATCCCTGCACCCCATCACACCCCCTCCCATCCCAATCCCTCTGTCCAGCCCTTATCCCGACCTTGCCCCACCCTCTCGCCCACACTCACGTCTCGATGGCTGTGCAGATGTCCTGGACGCTGCGGCCGCCCTTGCGCAGGGTGATGGCCAAGTTCTTGGCCCGGTTGGACTCCATGAGGGTCACCTTGCTGGGGGCTTTCGTCGTGGCCTTGGCCTTGAGGGCGCTGATGTCCAGGGCRGGGCCCTGYGCCTTGGTCTTGAACTGCTCCTCRAAGTCACTCATGTCCAGCTCCTGTKGGGACACAGGGCTGAGGGCACGGCRGGGAGGTGGCSGGGGACATYGGGATGGGGACAGGACCRGGGGATCGGGGTGAGGGCAGGAGCAGTGAGAGGATCAAGAGGAAACAAGGGGATGGGACAAGGGGACAAATACAGGGACAATCAAGGGGACAGGAGGGGTTGAGGGGATCAGAGGATAGAGACGAGGAAGGAGAAAAGGACAGGATGTGAGGATGAGGATGGAGCAAAGGACAGGGTGAGAGGAGGAGGAGGACGCCGGGTCCCGAGCTGTCCCTCTCCATGGCGCTAAGGAGCTTTTCCAACCTCCAGCTCCTCCCGCAGCCCCGTGACACCCGGGGTGGGCATGAGGCACCCTCAGCATGGGCTGGGGCACTGAGCCAGCCTGGCCCCCGTGCCCATGTCCTCACCTGCAGCACCTTCTCATCATTGAGCTCGGTGAARACGGTGCCATCGATCTGGCTCGGCTTCAGCGCCACCCAGTTGAAGACGGGCATGCGGAACTTGGTCTGGATGGGCTTCTTCACCTTCACTGCGGGGTCACAGGGAGGGGGGGCACRTCACGGGGTGGAGGGGGCCCACACCCACGTGAGGGTGTCCCCAAACCTGGCCCAGGGGATGTCCCCTCCATCCCTAGGCCACACTCACCTGAGCCATTGGCGGTGTGGGGGGCACCGGGCCCGGCCGGGAGCTCTCCACCGAGGGGTGGGGGCGGTGGAGGGGGGGGCACGGGGCCCTCCGGTCCCCCCGGGAGCGGGGGCGGGGGTGGTGGCAC